TGAGGGAGGGAGTGCGATAGGTGCAGCGCAAGTATACTATCACTATAAGCCAATTCTGCCTTTTTCCGGCCTTTGTGTTATCAATTCAATACCGTTTTACTGTTATACGATAGGGTGAGATGGTTGATGGTGAACCGGACCGGCCGGCCAGTCGTAGATCAGCGCGCAGCCGCGGCTTCTGTGGCATCCTGCTCCCTCAGCTGTCCACTGGGACTGACATTGAACTGACCAACTTTGTGAATCCCCCGGGCTGCAGCTCAGGATCAACGCGTGTCAGCTCGCAGTCTGATCAATGTTTCTCCTCGCCTCGTTTCTTTCATCTTCGCCATCGTCTCGGCCGATTTCGCCTTCGAACAACGCGATGACCATGGTTCCGGCACCTCGTATCTGAACATTACCCTCCGCACGCATTGCACCCCCTCCCTTACCACTGTCTCCTTTCCTGTGACCTCTAAGCATCAGGAAGCTTGTAAATGCATACGGAAATTTCAGGAACCTTCCCTTCGCTGTCCGGTTTACAGCCCCAGAAATATTCAGTCACTAGCCCATTTAGACACATGCGAAATTGCCGTTTCTTGGGGCGTAACCCTTTAAAATATACCTGACATTCCAAGCATGTCTTGTGGGCCATTGCGGTTCATTTTTCGTTTCAGAAAAGACGGAGACCACCATGTAAATAGAGTTGTCTAGTCACACTTCGTTTCCTGTCACTCCTAACATTGGAAGAAGCATGTGGCAGCAATTTCGTGTCTTATTTTTCCATTCCACGTCTCGCTGGCTTCCATTTTCGATCTTGTCTTCTTGTCGCTGATTCTTTTGTTTATTCTATTTTGTATAGTGTATGCTGTGTTCAGTACTGGCTTCCTTCTGCTTGTATGACTGTCAAATGGGGGCTGAAATTCAGTGGAAGCACTGGAATTGGGTGCTCCCAGATTTGCAGCAAGCATTTTCAGGATTAAACGTACTCCCGATAATCTGCTGTGCTTCGGGACTAGGTAGTCTTTCACTTATTGTGGCGCAGCTTTCTATTAAGCGTTAGCACTTAGAAGCAGATATTCAAGCCCTGGAACAAGTTGTCGAGCATAGGGATGGGGGATTTAGTCATCTGACGCCAGCGTCCAAGACGATTAAAATAACAGCAAAGACAATACTTACAACAGAACCGAATATGGGAGTCTGAGGTCTCTGTTGCAAGGTAAACACGCGGCCGCTGGGACCGTAAGTGCATTGGCCTGAGCTTTAGGACACCTACGGGAGAGTGAGCAACTTTTTAGTCAAACAATAAGAATGTAGGAGGTAGTTCCCGTAACCGTGTCTGGTTTACGCCACCTAACCCTCAGTGGTCTCGTGACGTGGTGACGATGTGCATCCTTGTCGACGGAGTGGGCTGCGCCACTAGGGCGGGGGGCAGGTAGATGAATGTCTGTTGACGGAGTTGGTACCGGACACCCACGGTCTCCGCCCCGTTTTATTGCCGGCGTCCGCGTGCTCGCGAAGTCGAACTTGCGGCCTTCTGTCAGCGTGGAAGTATCGACTTAAAACAGTGGATCGACACTCCGGACGACTCGCTTGTGTTCTAGCATTTACTACCTGGGTCGTCCAGTTTGGCCTACATGGTGACGGACAATTATGACATCTGCGCGTTTCTGGTATGCATGGTAGCTGCCGGACGATTGGCGATAACGAGGCTCAACTCTGCAGCAATGCGTTGCGTTACAGCTGGCGTATTCTTTATACACAATAGAGGGTGTCAGAGTTCTGACGGTTCTCCCGTTTGTTCTCCGTGGGTCCGTGCAGAGGCAGCGCCTGACGAAGTTGGGCTAGGTACTCCTTGTTGATTGGTCCCGAGGATGACCTAATTTTTGTACTTGTCTCACTGGTTCGCTGCAGTGTATTTGTGTCCCCTGAGAGAGCGCTGCAACAGCCTCATTTCCGCAGCGTTTAGTGGTTGCTACGGTAGCTGAGGGGGTGGATTGTGTTAGTGACTCTTCTATACACGGTGGTTCTAAAATTCATTACTGGGTCTCCGCGTCTCAAAGGGTAACTGTTCGGCTTTGTGAATTGAATGTCGGGAACGATGCTGTTAGACAGGGCCTTCCAGCCTGTGTATACGGTGGAGCCGATCAGTGTTCCTTTGATCTGCTTGTAAGTTCTGTCATGGAATGCGGGAAAAGGTCTTTGGCAGAATGCAAAGCTGCATCAGATGCTAGGTCTTCTGAGGTCCCCTCGTGCTGTCGTGGGGCGTCAAGTTCGGTGGGATAGTTGTGAATAGTGAGACCACGTCGAATGCTATCGTAATCTATTAAGGTCGGACGGTTTTGACGTGGACGTCACCAAGGGGAAGATGGTGGTCGACTTGAAAGGGTTCCTGGAGTCTTCACAAAAAATTTTGTTTTGGGCCATCTATTTGGGTAGGTTGTAAACGAGGATGACTTAGGGCAACAGTTAGTCGAAAAGATTGTGAATTTCGGGCAATCCATGGAACCTGGTCAGTGCTGAATCAGTTAGTTTTACCTGCGGCCATTTATCAAGCGAGATAACAGTTTCGCCTGGGTCGGTTCAGGCCGATAGTGGATTTGGCCTGCGAGGAAGGGGAAGGCCCGTAGGACTGTTGGTCACCGGGTAGGACTTCTGCCTTCCGTATACTCGACACGGTTCATCGCGACGGCTGCTCTTCTGTCAGCCGGTGGCACTATAATATCACAGTCTCCGTAATAGAGGCACCGCTCGGATGGACCCATGGCCGGATTTCGTGAACCGTTGAGAGCCAACAATGTCGGGGCCTAGACGTTGCAATGGAAAACAAGTCTACATCAGCTGTGAGGGTGCACGCATTCGTTAGCGTGGTGGTTTGGAATAAGCGCAAATGATACAGGTATTGGGAAGAGTGGCCATGCGTCCACGGAGATGCGATGCCTTTCATCGGCCACTGTTTCGTTCCGTCCAACATGGCCTATTTCATTGCGTTCGTCGGTTAGCACCGATAACTTGGTAACTTCTGAGACTACCTATCGACTAGTAGCGGTGATGATCTCCTGAATATAGAACTAGCTTATATGTATCGGTTGTTTCGATATAACGGATATCCGATCAGCTTTGTTATAAACTGCCTCAGGCGTCAGGCACAACCTCACGCCCCTTCTCAACTGAAGAAATCGTAACACAGAAATTCATCTCCCTACGCCATATCCAGGAAACCTCAGGAATGAGCGCCCGTCAGCCAAATCAGTTCGGTATCCGCGTTGCTCACAAGCCTGAATTCTCACTGCGCGCAGCCTTATCCCGAGTAAAAGATCCTAGCTTTAAAGATGCGCTGACTAATGTTATCTACCGCATCCCGTGTCCCAATTACACCTGCGTATATGTTGGTCATACAGGACGAAACCTGAGAACCCGAATTAATGTACATAAACTAGCTGTCCGTCGACGTGACCCAGTGCCCCTCGTCTTTGAGCACGCACTCCAGTGTGACCACGGATTTAATTCGAATGCCACTGAGTTCATCACCACGGCCAACACAAAACGGGCGAGGTAATTCTTAAAGACATGGTACTCTAATGCGGACAGCATCAACCGCCCATTATGAGGACCTAAGATCACGTCTCACTAAGCCGAGCCCCACGCCGCATCAGCGGCTGCTAATCCAGCCGCTCGCAGTTCCGCCAACCTACAATTCTCCCTCGCCCTCCAACACGGGAAGTCGTAACTGTTCTCTCCTCCCCTCCTGGCGCAAAACCCGGAGTGACTCCCCGCCACACCACTCCTCACACGCTAATGTTCAGCCCGTCAATGTCTGTCCCAACGCGTCAGCTAGTTTAGTGTGACGGTCTCACTTTTTCTTTTATCTTCATTTCGTCCGACGACGGTTTGTTGTCATCAACTTGAAAATTAACGAGCACATTTGGACTTTTTCCGAAGAACATCTCCCTTTTTCATTATATCGTCTCGGAATGCACACCAATGCTGCTCTACAATGCACACGTATATGTATGCTGCGCTCAAGTATGAGTGTGAAACGTCAAATAAATACACCATCCTCCCCAGAGATCTCTTTGCTTTCTTCCATCTCAACACCTGAGGTAAACATTTTTGCCTTTATCCACATATATATATATCAATATGCGTGAAGATGCGAGGTCCAGATATATTACCGTGTATATCATCCCCCGAGGAAGACGAAGAAGAGAAATCGATTTCATGGACCAGGTTGTATTCAGACTGACGTTTCGGAAACACACTCGTTTCCATCATCAGAGTCGTGCGCTGACGTTTCCTGCTGGCCTTGATCTGTTCAGCCTTGCCGCCTGCCTCGTATTATAACCGTGCACAGTGCACGTTTGTTGACTAGCCTCCTTTCCGTTAGCTGATTGTCGCCTCCCTGATCTCAGCATTGGCGGACTGGCGTGGCTGGTGTCCTTCTCACGCCTAACGTGGTTGCCGCTGCGTCGGCGTGTTCGTTCGTCTCCCCCTCGTCAGACGGCGGGTTGATCGATCTTTGTTCCTCAGGCGTGGTGTTTCCGGCCTCGGGAGTACGTCCGTGAGACGGTGTGCCACGCCGGTCACGTGACATTCGGTCAGCGCCTTCTCCTCTCTCCGCGAGCGTCGGTGGTCGACCCCGTGTGACTCTTTTCATCCGTGCCATCGGCCCTGCCTGGATTGACTCGAGTTCTGCGCGGAGCGCCTGATAGGCTGGATGTAGGTCTATGGCCCTGTTAAGTGTGCCAGTCGAGGACCAACTTTCCAGCATTAGTCTGGCCATTTTATCATTGGCTCGGCCTATCACACTCGCTTTCTCGAAGGAAAAACAGTGATTCCGCTCTAGTCTGTGGCCAAACACCAACGACAGCTTATCCTTGCGATTGATTGCTAGCTGGTGCTCGTGCAATCTTGTGCCGAGGCGTTTTCCCGTTTCACCAACATACCTGGCATCACAATCTTGGCATGGTATGCTGTAGACCACCGCTGATTGTTCTGTTACTGGGAGCGGGTCTTTGGGCCTCATGATTTGCTGTCTGATTGTTGAAGCTGGTTTATGGGCCACACCAATTCCAGAAGGTTTCAGAATTCTTGAAGTTGCCTCTGAAACGTTCTTCACATGGGGGATCGAGAGCCAGAGCTTTGGTTTCTCCTCGTTCGACCGCCCCGAGTGGGACTTCCTGAGACACTTGCGTATGAACGACTTCGTGTACCCGTTGGCTTCAAATAGACCACGTAAGTACCTCTCCTCCTTCTTCCTGTCATCGTCGTCGCTGCAGTGTGTTTGGGCGCGTTGGAGAAGGGTCCTGACACAACCGCGTTTGTGAGCGACGGGTTGGTTGCTTCTGAAGTGGAGAATGCGCCTTGTGTTAGTCGCCTTACGGTAGACCGTCGTCTTTATATTCCCGTCTGCCAGTTTTGTAACTTGTACGTCTAGGAAGGGCAAGCGATTGTCGGCCTCTTCTTCCATGGTGAACTGTATGTCGGGAAATATTGAATTCAAGAGTGCCTTGAAATCTTGCACGTCGTTTCTCTTTATTATGACGAATGTGTCGTCGAAATACCCGGCCCAGAACTTCGGAGGGTACGAGCTGAATACCAGCCGCTCCGTAAGGCTTCTAACACTAGGCGCATCCTCCACTTAAGAAGCAACCACCCCGTCGGTCACAAAAGCAGTTGTGTCAGGACCCTTCTCCAACGCGCCCAAACACACTGCAGCGACGACGATGACAGGAAGAAGGAGATGATGTACTTGCGTGCCCTATTTGAAGCCAGCTGAATTTTCTTAACGAGGAAGGATGTTAAATGATTTCAATTCCTGGAAGGGTGCGGCATTTATACAGCTCATTCTCTGCCTAGAAACAGGGGTTTTTAAGGATGCATTGCCACAAATGAACTGGCGGCATTTCTTGCTGCTACTTACATCCATCCGAGCTTATTTTGCCCCATGTGTGTACAAGTAATTTTGGCTATTCTAGGAGATTACTGAGGCTGTTTGCGCAAAATTTTCGAAGTTTATATTGCAAAGAGCAAGTGTTGCACAATGTGCATAGCATAACGCACATTGCCGACGACGTGCAGCGTCATGGCCACTTGAATCATTGCTGACCTTGCCTCTCGAAATCTACCTGGAAAGGTTACGGAAATGCTAAGCAAGCCATCGCAAACTCTGCAGCAGGAAGACAGAAGACTGAGTGATGTAGATATGCAGGCGTTGAACTCCATAGGGCCCCCGGAACTAAGAGTGCTTCATAAGCACAGTCGTGGTCCACAGCTAAGGGGGTAGGTCTCTGCGAGCAGTATAAATGTGTAACAACTGCGAATCTTAGAGCTGTCAACTCCCTTGCCAACAGATGCATTAACCTGGGGAAAAGACTGTATGTGTTGGAAACGTTCTATTACATTTGGATCGAAGTTTTCATGCAGTCTACGCAGGATTTACGAAGTTGTCAGATAAGTCCTCTACTTGCGTAGCTTTAAAGCTAGCATGGATAATATCCACTGTACTTCTTTGCCAACCGCATTCGCGAAGCTTGCTTGCTTTCCCCTAGATGGATTTTTTTCTTTTTAATGGAAATGATTGATGCTTGTCCTAGACGTTGAAGATTACCACCACCTAAAATCATCCTTTGCAGAATCAGTGCACGTGAACCCTACAACCGCACAGCCTACATAGCTAGTGGTCTGCGAGCAATGAGGGGTTGAGGCGGTCGTAGAAATAGTGTGAGCGTCCTCCCTGTTACCCATTACGTTCACTTTTTTCTGTGCGGCTTAAGATTATACTACGAGCTCTCCAAGGGGTTCGAAAAGAGTTTGTATAGAAAAAACCCCTATGGTTATGGGACGAGGCGCTGCTACTATCGCCTGTAGGTTCGGCTCAGTTCAGTTTATCAGAGGGAAAGTAGGTGTGTACTTTTGAAATCCTTATTTGTTACACGCAGAGGAAGTATATGGAAAAATGAAACGTGAGTAGCATGAAAGAAAGATAAGGGGAATATCAAAAACTGCACAGATGAGCACAGTACTTCATGCGTAAGCAGTATTTGCAGACAAATGAACTCAGTTTTTGATTCGATAATCGTGGTCAGTCAGGTAGTGACCACTGTCCAGTTACAAGTTTTGTTACTCGCCGTCGAACTTCTTTGGGTATGCTGAGGTTTTTAACGATCCAGGGTCTCCAAGCTTGGATAGCAAACGTCAAATTCGACCGCACAGATTTCGAAAGACCTTGGCGAAGCAGTTTTCATCAAATGACGAAAACGCCCGTTTAATGAGATATAGGATGAACGTCGCCGACTTGACTACCTTTGAACAGTGCGGCAAGGACTTGAGCGAGGTTGTGATTCACACACCCAAGTCCTTCTAGGCGCCGACTACTTTCAGTGGTTTGGCAGTCAGACGGTAGACCGTGCGGTTAGGATTACCGGTTCTGCCAACGCGTAGGAAGTTACACTTGATTGCGTTAAACGGCAAAGGCCAGTTGTTTGACCAGCGTTCGAGACGGCCTTGACTTGTCTGCAGTCGTGTTTCGTCAACCTCATTTCGTATGGTACTCTGAATCTTTCTGTCATCAGCAAACACTGCGACTTCGCAATCCAGTTATTTTGCGCAGTCATTGACGTATACGATGAACAGTGTAGGGCCAGGAACAGAGCCTCGGCTAACACCACTCCTAACGGCAACTTTGGCAGACTACTGGTCACTGACGTGGACAGCTTGAGAGCGGCCAAGTAAAAAGTTTTGCATCATAATCAGAAGTTTATCTCGCACTTTTGTACGGCTGCGTTTGTACAGAAGGCGTTGGTGAGGCACACTGTCAAAGGCCTTCTTGAAGTCGATGTAGACCGCATGCACATTATGTCCTCCATCAACTGCCCGAGTCCAGTGATCCTGACAGTAGAACGAGTTCGTCACAAAGGATCTGCCTTTTCGGAGTTCATGCTGAAGATCGGAAAGTAGATCGTTATTTTCAAGGAACTGCATTAGTCGTTGTTCAATTATTTTCTAATAGTCTTGTGGCAAATGGAGGTGCGGCTGACCAGTCTGTAATTGTTTGCAGAGACCCGACCTCCGCACTTATAGTGGCGTAATCCACGCCGATTTCCAGTCGGATGGCAGATATCCGGCCTTGAAGTATGCATGTGAAAACATAGAGAGTGGTTTAGCCAAATCATCGACGAGTTCCTTCAACGTCTTCGCCGAGACTTCATCGGGACCTTGCGATGTTGATTCCCTTAGCTTCATCTGCTGCATCAAAACAATGCCCTTAGCAAACGGTGTCAATGATTTTGGCCTCTTCGAATTCCCTCGCTTCCCTATTAAAAACGGACCGAAAAAATTCTGAAAGATGACAAGCTTTCGCTCTATCCTCGGTGAGATTTTCACCTTCAGCAATTCTTAGCAGTGGTATTGGGTCCTTGTTATGCGTGCTCCGTCTGGTGCAACCGTAGCATAATTTGGGATTCTCTGAGGCACGGTTAAGCAAACCCAGTTTGAATCCTTTTCTTATCATGCAGACATGGCCTTCGAGTCGATTTATTTTAACTTTACATGCGCTCATGGATGTGGGACTCCTGTCTGCAATCAATTTTTCCACAGTCTGCGCTTTTTATTCACCTCATGCTTCAAAGCCTGCGTAAGCCATTGATGTCTGTAAGTTAACCTCCTCTGCGAAAGCTGATAGGGGTTTGTGATGTACCTGTGCAGTAATTTTCGGAACCTTTGCCAATCACGGAGTACGTTTTCAACAATTATGGACTCCCACACAATGCACGTAATTTCAGCACTTACTTGGATGACCTCCCCCAATCAAATGTTTGTTCTAACTGTCATGGGTCTCTCGAGCATGGAAAAGATCGAGTAATCTCACAATAGAATGACGTGATCGCTTTTACCTAATGAGGGTAGGCATGACACCTCATCAGTGTTGCCCTGTGATTTCGTAAGCTTTGGATCAAGATAGTTGGAAACGCAATGTTAAGTGACAAATAACTTCAGTGGCGTTATCACAAAACTGCCATCGAAGGTCTGTATTGAGTTATTTGCGTGTGCGGGATGCCAGTCAGTTTGAGGCTGTTATTCACATTTGATTGAGAAAGGGAAACGAATCAACAGCGTCCCGACGAGGAACACTCGGAAAAACCATACCTGCCACGTCCACGTGAATCCAATATGACGCTCTTCAGTTTCCGCAGTTCCTAACTCAAAGGCCAACAAGGATGAGTCTGCTGGACTGTACGCAAAGGTAGATATCCTAGCCAGGCGGCAGCCTTGTTAGACGTAAATCCTGCTTAAGTAACTGATCCACTCACAGAAGGATGAGGAACTGCGTGCTAACCCGGCACCACTCCCTGTTATACAGCCAGCTGTGGCTGCCAATCCTATTGAGCGGCCTTCAGAAGCCAGTCAAGCGTTAAATAACTCAACAGACGGTTACTTAGCTAAGAGTTCTACAGGCAGCTGGTGTGACAAACGCTAGTACTTCTGCCTTCCTCGTACGGGTCATATCTCGACCTCCTTGAGGGACGAAACATCGACGATTTTGTCAAACGAATATAATGTGCGATTTTGGCGACGACATCGCCGACAATGCCAATTTCAAGATGTACAAATGTAAGGTCGCCCTATGAGGTTGAAAATTTAACGATCCGATCACTGGTGAGTCATCGTATATCTACATAAGCCCTCTCCCCACAGGTATCAACATAAGATGGTGAAAAGGCGACTGCACAGACCTATACGAATTGGAGGCTCGTTTTACAAAGCACATAAAATGTTCTAGATGCGGCAGGTAAACGACACGAAAGAAGTCAGACTGCGTCTGAAGTGAATGATATGCCAGCTGCATTCATTTCTTACATATACCCAAATATCAGAACAGGCACCTTGACCCTCGGCATCAGCACCGATACGCAAGGACATGTCGTGAATATCGAACGTTGCCGCGGTAGATATTATTTTTTTTATAATATTTCACCAACTTACCATGTTTGCTATATAAAACTAATATAAAATACCCATCACTCTTCTTGCGGCTACTTATAGGTTTGGTTTTGTGTTCAAAACCCTCTGTCCCGGCTAGTGGACGGCAAAACAAGGTACATGTATACAAGGACCGGCAGTGAACATAGTGCATGAGGCCTCATATAACAAGGAAAGGGGTACACGTCAAATATTTAGTTGGTGTACATTGTGGTGCAACCTTCTTTCGTCTATGTCGCTCAATCTCGACATGTCGATATCAGGGGCGTATCGACAAAATTCCCAATGTCCATATCCAAGCCGGTGCCGATCGTTATTTTGTGCGCGTCCTGCCGATCAAGTGTCCCAGTATTTAGGCGCCTGAATAAGTTGACATCTATATAATCTTGGCACTAGCGAAGTGAATTACCACAAACTTTAAGTAAAGGTGGGTCCTTTAAACTTGACAAGTAAACCCTAGACGTTCAGCGCGGGGACTATTGGCTTTCCCGCGTATGAGTAATGGCCCACTTTTACTCGTGAAATGTGTAACTCTTACGTGCACCGTTTTGCCACCCAGTTGACTGCTTAAAATAGAGTTATCGCGCAGATGGGAAGGGAAACCACGATCAATTCGGGGTTTGACTGGTGAATACGTCGAACCTGGGTCCAATATATATCGACCTGTCGAGATACGTATATCGTCCGGATATCGACTTTGACCACTTTAGCGATATACTCCTGATATTGGTATGTCGAGATTGATCAACGTAGGCGAAGAGGGGTTGTTGCACCATGCACGCCAACGTAACGTATACGCCTCCCTTTGAATATAGTACTCCAAACATTGCTTTTACTACCGTTTCCTGTAGACATGCGACTTGTTTTACTGTTTATTGGTCGGTGCTGAACCCTTTTAACCTAAAATCGAATCCACCTAACCCGTGAATTCAAGTGGGTGGTTTTTAGAGTTATTTACTAGTAGTAGTAAAGTGAGGGAAACTCATACAAGATATCAGCACTATCAATATTCATAAGATCAAGTCACGTATTGGGAGTGAAGTAAACGACCAGGTTACTTGTTCTGAAGGTTAGATATATATAGCATACGTATGCAGTTGGCTAACCATTTATTCCCGTAGCCATTTGCCTTCTTTGCAGCCTTTTTCCAGCCGCGTTCATGCCTCTCAGTAGCCGGCTGCACTGTGGATAGTGTCGGATCAGCTCGCAACTCGTTCACCTTCTTTAGATGATTTAAGAGCTCGAGCATTATCCTTATTTGCTGAAGCTTAGCTAAGACGTCCAGTTTGGCGTACACCTCATCCAGGGAACTTGCATCCTTCCCGTTTCTCTCGGCGTTTTGCACTTCTGCAGCCACAAAACGCCATAGTGAACAGCACCGTCTTACCATTACGGTCCAACGCGCAGGTGTGGTATCTGCCGAGCCGCTTTCGTCTGTCTGACTTTGATCTGCTTCTCTCTCGTAATAAATTGTCATCCGTGTATTCAACCTACCGGCGATAGTGGTGGTGTCCTATCCCATAGCGGTAGGGAATTTTGGGTTTTCTTTCGGCACACCCTCTTTGGACGCCTGGGCGAGCTCACCCTGCGATCGACAACTACGTGGGAAAAAAGTGGACGTTATGGGCAACGGGAGGAGCGTTCGTCCTATCTTTTGTCCGTCTTGCAGTGTTTGCGCACTACCTCAGTAACTTCACGACATGTTGCCTCCACATCTTGTGCAATATGTCTCCTTATGGCCTGCGGAGATGCCTGCCTCAGCATATTTTTAGGTTAAATGATTAAAACTTGAAAGATACATAAACAGTAGAAATTAAATTAATAGCAAGAGTCACGTTGGCAGACTCACGCTTATGCATCCTATGACACAGCAAAGTATAATGGCGTCCTCCGCGCGGCGCACACGCGGCACAAAATGGCCAGCCAGTCAAAGCAAAGATGCGAGACAACGGTTGGCCACTGGGAACGAACCGACCACATATCTGGACAGATGGCGACGAGATTATGGGGCGTGGATAGTCGTTGACCGACAGACGTTATTAATTAATTCATTGGTTAATGACGTTTGCTTCAGTTTGACCGATGTCTCATCTTGATATTTGATTTTATCGAGAAATGTCATACAGGACGTAAGACGTCCAGATTTATTTGTCTCACGACTAGGTCTGCGACGTGAAGGATAAGCCTTTGGTTGACGTACCTATAAACAAGAGTGGCCTGCGCTCGGGATGCATTAAGAAACTGCTTACTTCTGTATATGTACGCATACTGGATGAAAAACAAAACTGCCGGAATGAACACCGATCAATTAGCATTGATAGAGAATTTTTATTTTCTTCGGAACAAATTTTAATGGGACAGACAGATTAGAGTAGAAAATAATCATGTTTTGGTTTAAGTGAAAAGACCGAGGGCAGGGAAGAGTGTGCACGGCGTAAAAAAGCATGTAGCAGCAACATATGGGCAAATGCTTCATGATACTTTGTAATAGGTCCACTTCCAGGCTGAGTAGAATCGTTTCCTAAGATTAAACTCGGGGAGGCCATGTTTTCAGCCAAGGATTTACGCGCTTCCCAGCAGAAGATACCCATCGACAGTTTGCCTCCCTTCGCGGTTTATAAGATGTTAAAGACGTATTTGTTTACTGGTAAACAATATTCCTCGTCGTCAGTTGGAAAACACGGAATTTCTCTGGACCGAACATTCGTAGTATGCGTGTTGTCGCCTCCGCCACTACCGTGGTAGTGGCATTCCGGACTTGTAGAGACGAGACCAGGCTATCTTAATCTGCTGAAGTAACATTTTATGTTTCACCGGTGGGGGCCCTGCATCACATTTGCTTATAATACTGTCCGATACGAGCACCATTGCTTCCGCTTGGCTTTCCATCTGGTAAAAATCCGTTTTGTATTCTTAGAGAATCCAACGACAATTTTGTCATATTCCATCAGCTGTTGACTTTAATGAAGGTGGGAACTGAGACATCTTTGCGTAAGAGCATGGTTGTTTCGAAATGTTTTTTTTTGCGTTTAAAACTGGTTGAGCATACTTGACCAATGTTTGCAGGTTTTAGAGGGGTTCCCTCCTTAGGTCAGACGTCGTGTAGAGCATCCCAAACAACTGGATTGGAGTAGGACTTAGAAAGCAACTGCTGTTGTGGGGATGTCCATGCTCCTGCTGGGGTGGAAATTCGATGAAGGCACTCACATCTTAGCTTACAGTCCATCTGTTCTCCTCAGGGACACCAGTCGCTTCTCGCAGTCTGATCTTTGTAAACATTTTGAGGCTAGACTCATGACTCAACTTTTGGGCGTGTCCTATCTTCTTTATCAGAGCGGACGTCAATAGCTTCTATACTAAGACTCACTGGCATTGTGTACTGCCAAATTTTCGATTAGGTGGAGAGGCAGAAATACCTGGTGTAGTAGACCTATTGGTTGTCATTGGCCGAGTTCTCGTGAGATTACTACCATGTTTTGGGTGTTTGGTCCGAAGAATTTCGTATGACCATCGGACTAAACATCCGTGGACTTTTTTCATATCTTATCAAGTGATTTACCTGAGTAATCCCCGGCAAGCACCTAAAATTGTGATTTTTCACGCTGCCACAAGGGACATTCTTACTACTACTTGATACGACTGCGATCATGCATGATCTAGCCGGCCTCGATGATGTCCCGAGCTGTACCTCTCCATGCATGACGATCCGCGGCAGCAGATCTGGACAGCTCAACCCCACAAGGGACATGCCTAATTGTGATTCCACTGTAGTTCTCTTCGTCAATGAAACCATTGATACACACTTCCGAAAGTTGTTCTAGGCGAGATAGACAGGATTTAGACTGCCTAACTCTTAACCTTTCCAGTCTCCCACGCTCGTCTATAATTTTCTTTGGACTATTTGCAGGTTGCCGTCATGTCTGGCGCACACCTCGTTCAGTACATCCTACTCCGCTCCGACCTGAAGAGCCGTCTTGGCTGGCCTCTCGGCGCTATTGTAGCTCAGGGTTGTCATGCCTCAACGGCTGCGCTGCACAGATTTCGTGATCACATGGAAACCAAAGCATACCTGGAGGATCTCGAAAACATGCACAAAGTGGTCTTGGCCATTGAAGAGTCCGAACTTCCCCTGATTGCAGATAAATTGACAGGGGCCGGAGTAGACTTTGTAACGTGGCGAGAGCAGCCCGAAAACATACTAACCGCTATTGCATTGCGTCCCTACACCAAGAAGGAGGTCCAGTCCTACTTTAAGGGCCTGCGTCTTCTTAGTTGATCTTCATTCTACAGTTTGTAAATAATTAAACAGTTTTTGAAATAATTGTCAGTTGTGCCCCGCTACAAGAATTTTGGAAGGCATTACTAGGGTGGTCATTTCAACGATGCTGAACAGTGAGACTCCTCTGTGGTTGTCACATATCTGTCCGTTGCCCTTGGGCTTGTGGATATACAAAATGGTGGCGTCCTTGGAATCCTGGGGGACTTGTTCTTGCTGCCTTACTCTGGGACCAATGATCTAAGTTTGCCCATCAGTCGGGAGCCACCATGCCTGTGGACTTCGGTCGGAATTTCGTCAGATCTCGGCGCTTTCCCACCGAAGAGTCCTATGGTAGATGGTGTACTGCCTTGATTACTTCTGGGTGGGAAGATGGGAAATCCAGGCCGCTGCTCGTCTTCACCTGATGAATCTGTTGATGTCCTCATCGGAGGTTGTGGATGGGCGGTTGAGTACGCTTCTGAAGTGCTCAGCCCGACGCTCTAGGATCCGTAATTTTCCCATGAGGGTTGTCTTTCCGCCGGAGTTGAGTAGCGGCATGGTTCCCTTTGTAGAGGGAACGTAAACTACCTCGCTGGAGACAGAGATTCTTCACATCACTGCGGTCCGCGTGGCCTTGTATTTTTTCATCCTCTCGATCAATCCAAGCATTTTCTAATTTCCGCCGTCGTTTTTGCATCAGGCGTCAAAAGCAAGATAAGGCTACTTTACTCGCGTCGGTTCCGCGGTTGATGTGGGCTTTATGTGGTCTATTCTTTTCTGCAAGCAATTTGCAGATTTCTCCGTCGTCGAGCTAATCCTGGTGTTGGCGGTGTGTGCAACCAAGTACTTCCACGGCGGTGGATTGGATGACGCTCAGCAGTTGGCGCTGTTGTATTTCCAGCCTTCAGGACTTCCAGTTACCGGACCAGTTGATTG